ATTATTCCATGATTTTACAGTTTTACTTCAACTACATAGTTCCAAGTAAAAGCACCATAATGTGGGTTTCAGCACAGGAGGAGTTCAACTAATGTTTTCCTCTTTGCTTAATTGAGTTAAGTAGGCACATACAGAGCACAATTATCTGCCTTCTGGGGCAGGGGGAGGAGGGAAGAGGAACAGAACTGTACTGCTGAAGTAGAAGATTTAAGAAGAATTTCCAGGAAAACTTCAGTAGGAAACCACCCAGTTTAGCCCTTCCTGCTTATTAAGAGCTATCTGAATAGCACTTTGTGGGCTAGCTGAAACAGGGAGGATACTTATTGCAGGCACGATAGATAGTGATCAGATTATCTCTAATCAAGAAAAAAACGCTATAGTGGATTTTTTTTTTTTTTTAACTGTAGAGTAACCACTAATAAGTTGTTGCTGTCAATTATCATCATCCTGGAACTAGCCATCCTAGGAGGTGTGGTCTACTACAAGTTCTTTCGTAGCAGATGAATCTTCATGAGCAAGATGAGCTTTCCACTGTTGAGGAACCGGATGAGCTGTCTGTTCCCTTTGACTATCTGAGGATTGAACTGTCTCATTAGACAGCATGTTGAACTGAAACTACTGACACTAGAGAGACAGAGAATGGGAGTAAAAGGAAAATGCAGAGACAGACTTAACTACTGGTAAGATTAATAAGAAGGTAATAAATATTTTATTGTCTCAATTTGTATATATGTAACTAAATGAATAAATCTTGGTATGTAATAAAGTAGTCACCGCTCAGTGGAAAAGGTAGTTTATTTAAAAATTGAGAAGTTAACAGTATTTGCCAAGGGTTGACAATCTATTCACTCAAATGCTTCAGCAGAGCTCTATCTATAATGTCCAGTGTACCCAGCACTTCGGGTTCTTAAATCCTCACTTGCTCTTCACTGTCAGATTCATCTGGAGAACTGGGTGTTGGGAGTTCATCAAAAGCAGTGTGCGCTCCTTCCCTTGTCTGCCCAAAGCATGTTGCTATCACATCAACTGCAAGACTAGCAGTTGCATTCACTTCCTCTTGAGAAGCTCCAAGCAGTGGATTGACTTCAACCATGTCTACAGCTGAAAGCATTCCTGTGAAAATGATTTACAGCTTTGTTACTGTGAAAAGGGGTAAAATTCTCTAACAGGGTTTGTTTTGCAGCCCTTCATTCATTGCAGCAAGTCTGATATCTGAGCTTGTGACCCACTCTACCCCTTAGACATGGAAAATTGGCTCTCAAGTAAGGGATGAGGTTATCATTTTTAGATGCCAGTTTGTGGTTTTAATTTGGTTCTTTCTTACATCATCACTACCTCACTCCTCCATGCATTTAGCATCCAGGAAAATTAAATTTGATGTTCCATATACACTTATGAGAGGAATGTTTTTTAATCATGTTTTCTCACAGTCCAAAAATTAGGGGATATAAAATAGTCTCACCTAGTATTTTTTGCCATCCTATTCATGATTCTATTGCATCTGTTGTCTGGTTGGCTTTTTTTTTCTTCTTCCAATACCAACTTTTACTGCAAATAACTAATTTAAACTAAACTCCATGGCGTAAGGAGAAAATTCCTTCTATATTGAGTCGACTGCGGAATACTTAGTGAAAGCTTGGTTTGCTAGCCTTGAATCCTAGAATGGAACTCCAAACTGTTTAAAATTGCATCCATTTTTTTTTTTATTCCAGATGCCCATTATTACACCTGACCTCACGCATTTAGGAAAACGGAGCAGTATTATACAAGACGGCCAAATAATTTTTGACATTATTTGTTAATATATTATGTATTTTATTTACTTTTGGTAAGCTGAAGTTGTTGGTGGTTAAGCTGCTTCCAACACCTAAGCTACTGCCCATTACAGGACCTCTTTTTCCCCTACTGAAGCTTGAATTGACTTTGTAGGCACCTAGCTTTGACTCCATTTATCTTATTATCTAGTAACACAGGGAAAAACATAACCAATGTGAGCTCTATGTAGTTTGTCCTGTCCTTGCTTTGTCCAGTACTGCTGGGTCAGCTCCTACCTGTGTTGTGTATTTCCTCTGCGATGTACACGCCTTCTCTGTAAGTTAATCCACCGAGAACAGGAGTCCCAGTTGCTGGAGCCAGTGAAGGATCAAAAGCATCAATGTCAAAACTCAGGTGAATTGGTCTCTGTCTCCTAAGACAGAATAAAACAAGAAAAGCAATTTCAGAACCTGAAACTTTTTCTGCATGTATTTCTTGCTGTCCAGGCTGATTTACATTTGGAAAGGATTTTTTATTTTTTTAAATATCTTTGGCCTCTGAAACATCTGTTAGCCCAGATCTTTCCCCAGTACACAATGGGAAAAGAGAAGCTTGTCTTTCTAGGTTCACTGAGCATCTGCTCAGGTGTGATTTGGCTGAAGAAAAGTACTTTAGTTCTAACCATGTTATCTGGTATTTGTCTCCTTAGTTGGAAAAATGTAGAGAAATGTATGATATAATCCAGCCTTTTCTCCTTTTGTACAGAGCACCAGGGGGAAAGGCTGAAACATTGATTTGCATGGCATCTAAGATGGAGGGAGCACCAAGCTTGAGGATTTCATAGACAGCTCACCAAGATGAATGGGGCATTCTGCATTTTTCAGGTCAATAGTTGAAGGCTGCCTCTAAACTCTGCCCTGTAAGCCTAGTTGATAAAAAAGTGAAGGATAATCTGAAACAGAAAACATGAGTTACTTACTACCTGGAGTCTGGCAGCCCACGAGAACTTAATAAATTGGACGCTGCTTATCACTCAGATGAGCTATTCAAGTGGTAGACTGTGTACTTCCAACTTACTGCAGATGCTCAGTGGGGAGAAGCAGCTGAATTAGCAACTTCTTTACTTGGCACAGCTGCAGCTAGGAAGGGTGAGCACACCTTTAGATACAAGAGCAGGCAACACACAGAGATGGACCCTGGTCTGCTTACAGGACTTTGTTCTACCCTGTGGTGAGAGGTTACCCTTTTAACTCTGATCCTCTCTCTGTGTCCTTAGACTAGCACGATTTGCTCCCTAATCCTGTTCAGTGAACTTGAACAAGGTTAGCAAGGACGGCTGCACTGAACTTGAGTAAGGGAGTGGCTACTGTGCACTTCACTAGCTGAACAGAAAGTGGCAGTTGTCATCAGAACAGCGTATGTGAGCATAGTCTTAAGAAGGAAGACATCAAATGCTTCTACCTCATGTACTAACAGCTGAATTCAAGTTATCAGTTGCTACATATATTTTTTAAAAGTGTAATGTATACTGTAGACTCCGAGTTGATCAAACATTTTGTCAGACTGCAGCAAAATGCAGAATTCCCCAAGAAACAGAACTTAAATCATATAGAACAGAGCCACAACTGTACTGACTAATGTAACCTATCGCGTAGCTTTTTGACAAACACTGTGAAATGGTTCCAGTTCAAGATGTGGAAATCAAGGACTAAAGTCAGTGCTAAGATTTTACTATTTACTGGACACTGTCACAGTTCTGTTAGGCCACGTTACATCAAGAGTAATCTTAACTTAAATAACTTTCAGGAAAGTAGATGTTCAACAAGTAGATTATAAGAGTAGTTTAAATAAGGTAATAGTTTGTTACCTGCCTATCAGTTGTTCAAATGTTCTTTCCATAACTTTCTGAATTCCAAGGCGATCAATATCCCTCATGGAAAAATACTGGATGTCATAGTTCTTCAAAATATAGCTGTTAAAATAAAATGTTTTTAAAAATCATTACTGGCCTAAGCTTAAATTTAGCAACCCTTGTGAAAAGCTAGATGTGGAAAGAAGCTCATGATTTCAGCCTTTACAAAAATCCTTTAGTCTAAATCAACTTACG